TAGAACTCCCTATCTTTGGCTGAGTCAGGTACACATGTTTGCTACTGTGAGGAAGGAAATCCCAACTCAGGGTCCAGGGATTCCCTGGGGAGGGCAAAGTCCTCCAGATGTTCCTGTTGGCAAGTGATTGCCTCAAGATCCAGAACACTGAGGAGACTCCTGAAACAGATCTATATTCACTCAAGAAATTTGGCCTGATCATCCACACAGGAAAGACCAAACAGATGAAGACCATCTATTATCTAGGCAATGATGTGGAATTACTGGAAAGTCAAAAGAAAAATAAACGCTGAGGTATAAAGCTGAAAACATTTAGCAGCAAGGGTACTAGGGATATTTCTCTCCAAGGAAAAGCATGGCAGAGGAAATTAATGAAACACATTTTGATTCCTGCCCCTACATTCTGTCCTAATGTCATAATGGCCAGCCTCTGTCACCTATGTGACAATGAGGAAGCTCCCCCCAACTCCTTTCACAAAGTGACTTTCTGTTTCCCATTTCACAGAAAGACTATGAGAATTACTAAAGGTTAAATGCCTCTGAACTCTTTAGTAGGTTTTTTTTTTCCTTCCGGTGAGGCAATTGGGTTTAAGTGACTTGCCCAGGGTCACACAGCTAGTGAGTGTCATGTGTTTGAGCCCACATTTGAACTCAGGTCCTCCTGACTCCAAGGCCAGAGCTCTATCCACTGTACCACCTCACTGCCCCCCTCTGAAGTCTTTAGAAAAAGGCTCCTGCCTCATGATTCAGTTCAGTCACTCTTTCTGGAGCACTTACTCTAAGCAGATCCTAAGCAGGGGGGAAGTACAGACAAAGATGGCAGGTCTTGGTCAACCCAGAGCTAATAGTCCAGTAGGAGAGACCAAAGAATCAAATGCCAGTTAGACCTTGTGGTGGACATATCATCATTTGCATCCTGAACCCAAGGAGTGGATTGGGAGAGCGGCCACTGCTGAGCCAGTCATGATGAGGAGGACAGATGCAGAATCCCAGAACCAAAAGGGATTCCTGAGGCCGTCCAAGCCAACTCTGAGCTGGACAAGAATCCACTCTACAGAATTCTTGTTGAGTCTTCTGTGACTTCTACATGAATACCTCCAAGGAGGGAGAACTCACCCCCTCCTAGGGCAGCTCTCCTGGTTAGGGGGCTTATCCTGAATGAAAACTTTGATAGGTCTCCGAAACTTCCCCACATTGTTCCTGGTTCTGTCCTCTGGAGCCTAGCAGAACAAGACTGATCCCTCTTCCACAGGACAGCCCCTCAGATATTTGAAGACAGCTCTGCTATCTTGTCAATCAATCAGCCATTAAACAAGCATCTATTAGGCACCTACTGAGCAGTAGGTTCTGTGCTAAGTGCAGGAGATACCAAAAAAGGCAAAAATAAACAAGTCTGTGCTCTCAAGGAGCTCATTCTCTAATAGGGGAGACAACATGCAAATAATTATGCACAAATAAGATACAGATAGGAAAAACTGGAGCAGAGCAGCATCAGCAGTGAGTGACAGCCTTCCCAGACCCACCCAGGGATGGGTCACTTAAGTAAGTGAAGCAGAAGGGATCAATGACACAGGGGCAACAGGCAAAGGTAAGAACTTAAAAAGAAAAAGTAGAAGACACACCATCATAGCCATCCCCACTCTCTCCACCATCTTGACATAAAAGACTTAGGCTGAAGCTACTGGTTGTACTCGCTTCTTCCAGACTGAGGGAAGTTCCCCTCAAAAGGTCTGCTCTTTCCCCATCTTCCTCTCTCCCATGCCTGTCTAGTAACAGATTCTGTTATATACTCTAGTCACTTCCTGTACCTAATATTTCCTGTACCCTAATTTTTGCCTCCAACATAAAGAAGCAAGGAACTAGCTAGGAATAAAAATAAATATAAATTAGGGCAGAGAGTCAAATGTCTGAATGTTAAGAATTTTCCTAACTGGGGGCTCTGAGCTATTCTAACTGTGATGCTAACTTTTCACCTGATATAAACTCCATAAAGTATCAAAAGAGTGGTCCTGAGGTGCCAGTGTATTGCCCCTGGGTTTAAAAAAGCAAGCTAATTGTAACTGGTCATTGCAGGTGATTACATCTTCAGAGATAAGAGGGTAGAGAGGAGAGGGTGGTAACAGGCATTGGCGGGCCAACTGTGCCCTCCATGGGTACACCAACACTTACCTGTGTTATACTTGCTTCTCTGAGTTCATTCTAGTCATTGTTTCCTACAGCATAGTAATATCCCATTCCATTCCTGGCCCACAGTTTGCTCAGTCATTTTCCCACTGAAGGACAACCACTTTGTGTCCAGTTCCTTGCTATCACAAAAAGTGCTGCTGAGCATATTTTTTGGTACATATGGAGACTTTACTTTTGTCATTGAACTCCTTGGGTATATGCAGTGGAGTCCCCAGATCAAAGAGTGGAAATATTCTCCCCTGATAATTCCAATGCATCATAATGGATCAGGAAGCCAAGGACAAAAAGAAGAAGAAGAAGCAGAAGCCAGGGAGACCTGGCTTCAGGTTAAGCCAGCCTCAGACACACACTGTGTGACTTCAGACAAGTTATTTAACCTCTTGTTGCTCTAGGCAACTCTGAAACTAGAAGATGTCGTCTGCATGGGCAGAGAAATTTTCCCTGCCTGGGAGTTCCCTGCGCCAGTGAAATCACAGATCCAGTCTCTATCCTTAATTCCACATTGCCTGAGTTTTGAGGGAAACAAGGCATTATTCAAAGCTGGTGAGCTCCTGGGCTGGAGAGGCAGCCAGTACAAAAGTACAGAGATGCAAATGGAGAGTCCTATGGGACAATTGGTAATAGAATTTGATTGTACTCTAGTGTGCATGAGGCTAGAAAGATAAACTGGGGCCAAGCTGGGCTTGATTTCTTTGGCTTCCTTCAGTCCTCAGCTTTCTGCAGGAGACCTTCCCTTGCACCGCTAGTGCCTTCTTTTTGAGATTACCATCCATTTACTCGGTACGTGTCTTGTATGTACCTAGTTGTTTGCATGGCATCACTCCCATTGGAATGGAAGAGAATATTTGTATGTACTTGGCACAATGCTTGGCACCCACCCTTCCCCTGCCCTCTTGGAGAAAAAACTATGCTTTTCCTTTTTTTAAAAAAGTGCTTGGCATACAGTAGGTGCTTAATCAATACTTGTTGATTGATGGATGGTTCGTGGTTTGACACCTGTAGGAGCAGGCTTATTATGTACAATGCAATACAATACAATTACTGTCACACACAAGGTAGTCAAGCTAGCTTAGATGAAAGAGCCAGGAACCCTAAAGGAAACCTAGGAGGCAGCATAGGGCAGGCAGGTATTTGACCACCATCTTCCCTGAGACCCTGACGGAGAGAGCCCAGGACCCCAAACCCAAGAGCCTTGGGACTAGCCAGGCTTCCGCTCCATTCTCCTGGGAAGCAGTCCCTAGGGAGATGTAGTCTGGGGGCCACTTCTGCAGGGGCTGTGGCTGCAGCTACCAAAGACCCAGAATAAAATGTTCTTACCACTAAAGTCTCGGCTCTGTCAAATGGCTCACTGTCAGAAATGGGTAGGATTTTATGAGTGAAAATGTTGTTGTTTGTCCTTCATTTTTGAAGAGGACCAATGACATCACAGGTGATGTCTTGACTTGAGCATGAATTGGATTTCAGTAAGGCAGAGCTGCACAGTCCTCAGCCTCACTCTCTCTTCCAGAGTCATCAAAGTTCAGACTTTAACCCTGAACTTTGGCGATGGCCCAGGATGCAGTGGATTACCTTGGTGTCTCTTCAATGTCTGACATTTCTAAGCACCTGCTCCAGCCACCTTCATGACCTCCATTGGAACAAATTGTTCTCATCCGCCCATTCCACATGCTTGGAGTAGATAACTCCCTAACTCACCAACAGGTCTGCGGCCCACTGGTTTGGCCCTCAACTCGGCTTATCCCGTCTACTGACATGGTTTTAGAGGCGTGCGGCTGCTGCACGTGCTACAGCTTCATAGGGTCACAGAGGAGGGTTGGGTGACAGGCGGACACCAAAGGTGGATGAGCAGCCCTGAAAGAGACTTGGTAAACCCTCACACCAGAGGTGCTGGTCCTCCCTGAGCACCCCACATACCCCATCAGTGGAAATAACACTAAAGAAGAGGTACTGCCACTTGCTATGCAGCCAGCAGCTAACCTGGCACTGGGCTAAACACTTCACAACTATCTCATTTGATTCTCACAGCAACCCTAGGAGGTAGGCGCTATTACCACCCCCAATTTACAGGTGAAGAAACGGAGGCAAACTGGTCAAGTGGCTCAGCCAGGGTCACATAGAGGGTAATTGTCTGAGGCTGGATTGAACTCAGGTCTTCTTGACTCCAACCTAGAGTTCTATGGTGATACCTTGGTGATACTTAGCTGCCCCTAAGGGCTGTGGGACCTTTTCCATCTGACCTGCAGCTAAAATCTTCCATATGTTGTCTTCCCTGTTAGTATGTGAGCACCTCAGGGACAGGGACTGACTTTTCTCATTGTAACCCCAGCGCTTAGCAACGTGCGTTGCACACAGAAAGCACTTAATAAATGCATGTTCATTGACTGTGCTCAGCATGCTGATTTTAGCAGCCACGTGAAGTTGGGTTTGGAGAGCGGAGAGGCAGGAAGAATGGAGGCCAGAGGTGATGGGGGGGCCTGCCCTGGGGAGGGGGCTGCGTTGAAGGAGAAGGGGTCACGGTGGAGGGAAGCGTGGAGGATGGCCCCAGTCCTTGATGTACATCATTCTAGATGGACATCCCCCTCCTCATTTTGCAGAGGAAGAAACTGAGGCCAGACAGAAGCAAAGCGAATTCCTCCCCCTCCCCAGGGAAACTCGGCACGCCCCCGCCCGAAGGCTCCACCCCAACGCCTGGCGCTGGCGCCTGCGCACTCCGCAGCCCCGCCCACGGGGGGAAGGGGTGCAGCACGTGACCCGCCTCCTCCTCGCGCAGGTCCCTTTCGCTCCCCACCTCCCAGCTGCGTGCGCAGCCGGAGCCAGCGGGGCCGGACCCTTGTAGGTGTCAGTGACCGAGGGAGGTGGAACGAGGCCCCGCCAGCCCCGTCACTGACACCGCCCGCGCCGTCCCCTCACCGCCCAGGTAGGTCGGGTTAGGAGAGGGCCTGGGATGGAGGCCGCCAGACCTGGGCCGCTAAGATGCGCCATCTCCTGCCGCCGTGCCTTTGCCTGCCCCCTCCCCTGCCCCCAGCACTCCCCCTACTCTGCGTAGTTTAGCCCGGCCCTTGTGTCCCGCGCGCCCTGGGGCAAGCTGTTCCATCCTCTCCACCCCTCGGCCTCAGTTTCCTCTTCTGTAAAAGGCGGGGGCTGGTCCTTGCCAGCCCCAGATCCGGGCTCCTCTGAACTTGCTGGTCCACAGCTAATGACAGTCAGCTCCCTGAGGGCAGGGGCGGCTTCCTCGTGCTCTTGTGTATCCCCGGGGCCAGGCCCCTGATAATGGGGGATGGTTGGAGGGGATAGGATGGGATTGCATCGGAGCCTCCGAGCTGGGTGGCCATCTGGGAAGCAGGGCCTGGTTCGTATGACAGCTGGGGGAGATCACCTGGCCTTTAGTAATGAGGACGATTCAGGCCATCCATGCTTGCCACCCCACGCTAGTATTCATTATCAGCCTTGCTCCTCAGCCTCAACGGAGCCTCCCTTGGCATTATCTCCATTTTACAGACAGGGACCTGTGTCTGGAAGGGCAGGCCCCTCAACAACCACTGAGGTCCTGGGGCCTACTTTCAGCTCTCATGACACCATCCTGCCTGCCCAAATCAGAGCAGTAGTAGGGGCCACCTGGGCTAACCCTCCCATGGTGAAGAAGAGAAGCCAGGCCTGGAAAGCAGGTGAGATGACAGCGCTCAAGGTCACGGAGAGTGAATGGCAGAGCCCGGCTTTGAACCTTCTGGCTTCACATCCACAGAACCTCTTAGGGGCCAAGGTGTGGGCAGCTTGTAGAGGGCCTTGAATGCCAGGTCCAGGAACTGATGCTTTACAGATGCTCCTTGCTGTTGGGAAGGACGCGGACTTTCCACTGGGGAAACAAAGATAGGCCCCCAGTTCTGCTTTCAAGGATCTAAATTATGGGGGGTGGGGGGAAGGGAGAAGGCTTTACAGCATACGACATGGACCTAGGCCACTAAGGCCAGTGAAATGGCAAGTATATGTTACCAAACAGAGCACTTGGACAGTTGGAAGCTGGGAGGCTTCATGGAAAAGGTGGTCCCCGAGCAGGGAAGAAAGGATGTCTACCAGGGATGTGGGGGAGAAGGGGGAGAATAGGCTGGTTCCAATCCTGTCTCTGACCCTTACAAGTTGTGTACCCTTGAGTAGTCAATACATAAGCATGAATATTCTATCAGTCAGTACTGTGGGGCTCCATGTCCTTCTGACAAGTAGGGATCATAATCCTTGAAGATCCTTCACAGAATGTTTATGAGGAAAGCACTTTGTAACCCTTGCAGGGGCTTTCAAGGGCATCATTGAGGCCAGCCTTTCTGTTTTTTTAACAACCACCCCAGGCTTCTTCTTGCAGGCCTCTGAGGATGGGCAACTCACTACCTTTTGAAGCAGCCCATTTCAGTCTCATTGTTAGGAAGTTTGCACTGCCATTAGACCAAACCCTGCTTCTCTCTATATTTTCCTTTTTCACCTCCCAAGCAGATGAAAGTTAATCTCTCCCACAAATTAGTCTTAAAGACTTGAATGTAGCCTCCTTCAATCTTCCCTTCTCCAGGCTAAGCACTGTGTTCCATCACACATTCTCACATGGCACGGTTTGAGGTAATTTTGTGTAATAAAAAATAGCTCACATTTATAGAGCACTCTTAAGGTTTGGAAGGTACTTTACAAATAACTCATTTCATCCTCACGACAACCCTGCAAAGTAGGTTCTGCTGTTATCTCCATTTTGTATAATAGGAAACTGAGGGAAACAGGTTAAGTGACTGGCCTAGGGTCATACAATTGCTAGTAAATGTCTGGGGCTGTATTTGAATTTATATATTCCTGACCCCAGGATGAGAGCTCTAACCACAGCGCCATCTAGCCCTGGACTTGGAGTCAGGAAGGACCTGGGTTCAGATGTTGTCTCTCACACTTAGTAGCTATGTGACTTTGGACAAGTCATTAAACCTCTCCAAGACTCAGTTTCCTTATCTGTAAAATGGGGGTAATACCAGCTCTGACATCTGAGGAGTTTGTCAGTAAAATGCTCAGCAGAACTGATAGCTCTGTGTAAGCGTCATCGCCACTTTCTTATGACACCACAGCTTGTCTTAGCCCTTCCTTCATTGGGTGCCCAGACTAAACAGTCCTTTAGATTGGGTCTGAGTGATTCTGAAAGTGGAGGGATGCCCATACTCCTGGAAGTTCTTCCTCCTATAATGCAGCCCAAGTCTCATTAGCATTTTGGAATGCCATAGCACTCATGTTGAGTTGGGTGTGTGGGTCCACCAAGACCCCCAGGTCTTTTTCACTGGTGTGTGAAATTATTCATATTAGTATTATTTTTGGCTAGGCAATAAGGTTAAGTGACTTGCCCTGGGTCACATAGCTAGTAAGTGTCAAGTGCCTGAGGCTGCATTTGAACTCAGGTCTTCCTGACTCCAGAGCCAGTGCTCTATCCTCTGCACCACCTGTCCACTTTCCCAGGTGGAAAGGGAGTAGAGGCCCCAGAGCCCCCCCCCAGAGCCATACTACCAGGTTATAGTTCATGGCTCCGATCAGTCAACTGTGAGGGTTTAGTTTATGCCCCTGGCAGGAGCAGCCTTCCCCCTTTCTGTACAGGGGAGCTGAGGTGGCATGTGGAGCCCTTTCTGCTGGACTCAGTCCTCAGTGTGGCCGGCTCTGCCTCACTTTGGGGGAGGGGTGCGGGGGAGGGCTGTCCAGAACACAGATCTGCTGACAGAGAACTTACCTGCAGGAAGTAGCCTATCAGCTGTGTCATGGGAACCATTGTTTTAGCCAGGAGGGGCAAATGCAGCCTGGGGTGGGCGGCAGTGGTGGTAACAAACTGGACAGCAAGCCTCCAGCCAATGTGCAGTGGGCTAAAGGGAACCTTGTCAGCCGTGTAGAGTGGCCACTCGGTGGCTCACCCACGTCTTGGTAACCTTGCCCATGACATCAGTGGGCAAGAGAAGGTGCAGAGGTGGGCAGCTGGGCCAGGGAAGGGCCTGAAGTCCATGTCCTGTGGGGAGCCGGGAAAATTGTCTACCCTGGGGAGGAGGACAGAGAGCTGGGCTCCAGTATCTGGAGGGCGGATTAGTCTGGTTCCACTTGGCCCTGAGGGCCCCACCTTGAGGGATGGGGGAAAGCTGCCAAGAGGTTTGTTTAGCCTGGAGGTGAGGAAGAACTTTGATAGGCTAGGGTGAAAGGTAGTGAGCGCCCCATCTTTGGATGTCTTCAGGCAGAGGTTGGAGGCCCCTTGGTGGGGATTCATTTCAGAGACGGCCTGGACTCAGAGGCCACTGAGATCCTTTCCTCTCCTCAGATGCTTTGAAGTCTTCAGGGCCCCCATCTATCATGTTAGAGGCGGCTGGGTGGTTCAGTGGACAGAGTGCCGGGTCTGGAGTCAGAAAGACCTCAAATCTAGCCGCAGACGTGACCCAGACAAGTCACTTGATTGCTGTTTGCCTCAGTTTCCTTGTCTATAAAATGGGGATAATTGTACCTACCTCCCAGGGTTATTGTGAGGATCAAATTAGATAATCATTGTAACGCTGTGGCATATAGTAAGCTCTTTATAAATATTAGTTATTATTATTAGCTATTATTTGCAGCCTTCAGGGTCCCCTCTGTCATATTACGGTCAGATAGGTGACATAGGGGATAGAGCTTGGGGCCCGAAGTTAGGAAGATCTGAGTTCAAATGCAGCCTCAGACACTTACTAGCTGTGGCACCCTAAGCAGGTCACTTAATCTCAGTCTTCCTCAGTTTCTTCACCCGTAAAATGGAAATAACAACAGAACCTATCCTTCAAGATTGTCATGAGGGTCACAGGAGATATTTGTAGATTGCTTAGCACAGAGCTTGGCACATAGTAGGAGCTATAGAAATACTTGTTCTCCCCCATCACCCCCCATCGTCAGTGGTCGCCAGTAGCCTGGGCCGTGTCTGTCCTCAGGCCAGTTCAGCTGCTCGTGGGCTGGCTGTGTGTCTGGCCAGCTGTCGGGCATCACTGAGCCGGTCTCTTCCTTTCCTTCAGCAGGGAGCAGCTGAGGGGCCGGGTCACCTCCAGCCATGGCTCGTGAGGCCGGGCCGAAGGCGGCCGACAGCACCTTCTCATCCGACAGACATGCCCAGATCATCCTGGCCCAGATTAACGAGATGCGGAGCGGGCAGGATTTCTGCGATGTGCGGCTGCTGGTGGGAGAGGCCGAGTTCCGCGTGCACCGGCTGGTGCTGGCTGCCAGCAGCCCCTACTTTGCCGCCCTCTTCACTGGGGGAATGAAGGAATCCTGCAAGGATGAGGTGCAGATCCTGGGCATCGAAGCGGGAATTTTCCAGACTCTTCTAGATTTCATCTACACAGGTAGCACCCTTGGCACAGGCTGCCCTGGAGGACGGGCAGGGTACTGGCTGGCATGCTGAGTCTGGCTCTAGGCACTTCCCGTGCCTTGTCTCAACACTCCTTAGGTTGTTTCTGAGGGAAGGGGCTGCAGTGATTTGGGAGCTTGTTTGTACACAGCTGTTTGCTTGCCGTCTGCCTGGTGCAACTGGGAGCTTCTTGAGGGCAGGCACCATCTTTTGCCTGTTTCACATCCACAGCACTTAGTATGATGCTTGGCACACAGTAGGCATTTAATAAATGCTTATTGCCTGGCTGACTCTAACAGGGGATTCCTGGCTGCTTTGTGTGCCCCGCCTCCTGGTGCCTGCTCAGTCTTTGGTTGCTTTGGCCCGCAGAGGCCCAGGGAGCCGTTTGAAAGGATTCCCAGATGTCTTTCCTCTGGTGGCTAACAGCCCATTATTTGATCTCTGTGGCTGGGCATATTTTCCAGTTCACCATCTTTTATTTATTCATGTGGAATCTTATCTGGTTGCTTGGTTTTTGTCCTTGTATCTCCAGTGTGTTGCCCACAATCGGCACTTAATTGATGCTTGTGGGACTGAACTGAGACAGATCTGGGATAGTGGACAGAAAAGTGTCCTCGGAGCCAGGAAGACCTAGGTCCAGATTTTCCCTCTCACACCCTGGCTGTGTGACCCTGGGCAAGTCCTTAACCTCTTAGTGTAAGGTGCTCACATGTGTGAATGGGGGGCAGGGCTTCCCCAGGAGTTCCTCTGTGACATTCTGGGCCGGTTCCTCTGCAGGTCCTGGCCTGGACTGGCCCAGATCAACTTGTCCTGTTCCCTTTGGCCACTCACACAGTCCCCGGGTTTGTGGGTTCTTGATTAGCTCAGCACTTTGCCAGTCAGAGCAGTTTGGGGTTACTTGCAGGCTTGGAGATGTCTTCGTGTGCCCTTCTTCCCGCTTTCTTTCTAAAAGTGCTTTAAGAACAGACCAGCCTGCCAGCTCTCCACATAACTCCGTGAAGGACCCCGGAGCTGCCAGGGTACTCTCCAGGGGTGTGCTTCTCGGTTTCTCCCCCGGTCTCTGGAGAGCTGCATCTCTGGCTTGCTGCTTCAAACTGTCTTTGGTGTAGCAACTCTGTGGGCTCCTCCACAACCATCCAGACATTTCAAAGAGCCTCACCTCCCCCAGCGTCCTCAGCTCATCTGAAGAGTGTGGGCCGATGGCTCCGCGTAGGTCAACGGCGTCCGGTGGCAGCCAAGAAAGCGATTGTAATCTGAGGCTACATTGAGAGAGGCGGCTTGTCCAGGGCTAAGGAGGCCTCAGTCCTGCTGGCCTCCGCCCTGGTCAGACCCCATCTGAGCACCAGGCTCTGGGCGCAAAGGTTTCAGAAGGGCATTGGTGAGCTGTAGAGTGTCCAGAGGAGGGCAGCCAGGGTGGAGAAGGGCCTCAAATCCACTTCATATGAGGACTGACCAAGGGACTTCAGTGTGCCCATATCAGAGAAGAGAAGGCTCGAGGGAACATGGTAGCCTCCTTCAGGTACCAGGAGGGGTGAGCCTTGCTTTGCTCGGCCCCAGAGGGTAGACCCAGGGGCAGTGGGGGAAGGGGCGGAGAGGCCCTGAATACCTCTCAGTAACGACAGCTACCTGGACATTGAATCGCTTGGGAGCCAGTGAGCTCCTCCTTACCAGAATGCTGCATGCCATAGTTGGCTGACCACTTGTGGGAAGGGGCGGGAGAGCCTCTTTGTTCAGGAGCCAAATGGTCAGGCTACATGCCTTTGAGGGCCCTGCCTGCTCAGTGGTGCTGGGATCTGTGAAGCCATCTTCTGATGCTTCATTGGGGTGGAGAGATGATTGGAGATGTTGAGGGCTCTGCAAGCCCTAGGAGCCCCCACCCAACTGGGGGGGAGGGGTTTGTGTGGGGGCCCAGGCCTGGGTGGAGGGACAAGTGCAGAGAGGTAGGGCCTATGCTGGTCCCAGTGACCAGAGCTTGAGGATGGGGGAGTGGCTGCCCACTCATTCTTGAAGGATTTGGGAGTATGAGGTACTAAAATATTTGGCACATGGGTTGACTCTATGGCAGGGGTTTGTGGCCTTCAAAAAACCCCAACAACTTTGATAACTACTTCTGTATAATTAACTTCCTTAATTTATTTTCTTTTTTGTATTTAAGAACATGATTCTGGGGATGGGTCCTTAGGCGTCACCAGACTGCCCACCCTGCCGCCCAAGGGGGCTGGGACCCGACCCAGAGCAGATGAAAAGCCATTCTGCACGTAGCTAATGCCTCTTTAAATTTACTGGTGGCCTGTCCTTCATTGCAGCTTGTCTGACTCTGATGTGCTAGAAGTGTCTTTCACACCGTGCCTCAGGCTTCTGAATGTCATGCCCATTTCCACCTCTGCACGTTCTCTCCTTTGCCCTTTCAAGTAACTTTGCTCTTCAGTCAATCAAACATTTACTGAGTGCCTGCTCTGTGCCTGGCACTGGGATACAAAGAGAGGCAAAAGAAAGTCTCTGCCCTCAAGGAGCTCACAGTCTAGTGGGGGAGACCACAGGCAGACCTGTATATACAAAGCAGGGTATCTACAGGATAAATAGGAAATAAGTAGCAGGGGAAGGTGCTGGGGTTGAAAGGGGATGGGGAAGGCAATCAGTCTTGCCATCTAGGGATCCAGCCTGGAACATCAGGGAGAATGTTGTATTGTGGCTTTCTCTAGCTGCTGCCCGCTTCTACCCCATCCCAGAGCTCTCTAGACTTCAACATACATCAGTCAGTCCACAAGCATTTATTAAGAACTTGCTGTGTGCCAGGCAGTGTGATAAGCTCTGGGGATACACAGAAAGGCAAAGACTGGTCCCCGCCCTCAGGGGGCTCCTGTTGTAGTGGACATACCTAAATGATATCTGAGAAAAGAGAGAGGCGTGGAGTGTCCGGACTTTCATGGCACCCAATGTTGTGCTCTTTGGAGCCCTAGGAGAAGCGGGTCTGGCTGGGCTTAGTGCACAAAGCGCCCCCTTCCCCCTAACACCCCCTTTGTCTTCCTCCTCCTCCCCCTCCTCAGGTGTGGTAAACATCGGTGTGAACAATGTCCAGGAACTGATTGTGGCCGCCGACATGCTCCAGCTGACCGAGGTGGTGGACCTGTGCTGTGAGTTTCTGAAAGGACAGGTGGAGCCGTCCAACTGCATCGGCATCTTCCAGTTCTCGGAGCAGATCGCCTGCCATGACCTCCTGGAGTTCACAGAGAACTACATCCACGTGCATTTCTTGGAGGTGAGCGGTGGGGAAGAGTTTTTGGCACTGACCAAGGATCAACTGATTAAGATTCTGCGAAGTGAGGAGCTGAGCATTGAAGATGAGTACCAGGTGTTCTTGGCCGCCATGCAGTGGGTTCTGAAGGACCTGGGCAGGAGGAAGAAGCATGTGGTCGAAGTCTTGGAGCCCGTCCGATTCCCCCTGCTGCCTCCTCAGAGGCTAGTCAAGTACATAGAAGGTAAGAGAGGGAGGCTGGGCTTTGATCTCAGGTTCACGGTTGGTGCGTGTGGTCAGGTCAGCCTATGAGGAAGGAGGCCCTCGGCTTTCTCAGTTTGGATTGGTCATACCAGGCAACGGCATCAGATCGATGAAGCATCTGCTCCTTGCAGAGCCCCATGCCACATCCAGGGGAGATGGAAAGATTCAGTAAGGCTTGCTCTGTGCCCTGTGGGCTGACCATCTGTGCAATAATAATGGGGTCTTGTAGGGCCCAAGCAAAGCAGTGTGCAGTGTGGGCAGAGCCCTGGAGGCCTTTTGTCTGTCCACAGACATGGGTTCCTATCCTTCCCGGTTGTTAGTGCTTATGTCTAAGGGGAAGACTGCCAACAGTGCTCTGTGTAGAAGGAGCAGCCTGGTGTAGAGGGTACAGAGCTGGCCTCAGGACAACGAAGCCCACGATTCATGTCCTGTCTCTGACCCCTCCTGGCCATGTGACCCTGGGGGAAGGACTTCACTTCTCAAGGATCTAGGCAGCCTCTCTGTACTGGGGGAGGGAATTTACTCCTCTGAGACTTCCCCGTACTAGTGAAATCCTAGGTCCAGTCCCATTTCCGCACAGCACCACCACCTTTCATTACAAAATGTGTCCAGTCCGAAACAGTAGCTGATAGTATTGTTGGTGTTGTTATTTTTGTTTAGTTGGGTTTGATACATATTTTCAATCGCCAAAAAAAAACCAACCAAAAACCTTTTCTTCCTCCCATTCCAACATCCCCACCCCTAATTGAGAATAAAACCAAAAACCAAAAACCCTGTTACATATATAGTTAAGCAAAATAAGTTTCTTCACGGGCCACCAAAAAACATGTTTTCCTGAGTCCTTTTACTTCTCTATCAGGAGGCAGGTGGCCTGTTTCATCATGAGTCCTCTGAAATTGTGGTTGGTTTCTCATACTCATCAGAGTTCCTAATTCTTTCTGAATTGTTTGTCTTTACTGTAGTTTTGTCACTGTATAAATTGTTCTGGTTCTGCTCACTTCATCAACTGCATCAGTTCATATAAGTCTTCCCAGGTTCTCCTAAAACCACCCCTCTCATCGTTGCTTATAGCACAATAGAATTCCATCACATTCATATACCATAACTTGTTCAGCCATTCCCCACTTGATGGGCAGCCCCTCAGATTCTCATCCTTTGTCACGACAATATGAAATGTTGTAAATATTTGTGTACATCCTTAATTAGAGTTTGTTTTGCTTAGGACTTATCCCTCCCTTAATTCACCCTCCCTTTAATTCCCCCTTCTCCCTTCTCTTCTTTCCCTCCTATTTCCCTGTTGACAGAAATGTATTTTTATACTCAACTCTGTGTGTGTATATATGAGTGTGTCTTGTTTTCTCCTCTGACCAGTTTTGGTAAGAGTGAGGCTTTCATGTCAGCCATTTCCCCCACCCCCTTCTTTTTCTGTAGATGTCTGCTTGTGAACTCCAATTATGAGATAATTTTCCTTAATCTTCCTTTCCCTTCTCCCCTCCCCCCTCCCCCAATATATTCCTCTTGCTCTCTCATTCCATTCTTCTTTTAGAATCATCAAGTCATGACAGAACCCTCCTGGGCCTTTTCTAATTAGACTCCTTCTGTGACCCCTGATGATGATAGAGATCAGAGGGGACACATGTATCATCTCCTTATATTTGAATGTAAGCAGTTTCTCCTTGTTTAGTCCTTTATTATTGTTGATTTAGGTTTTTTTATGTTTTTCTTTATTCTTATGTTTACATTTCAAAACTGGTCTTTTCATCAGTAACGTTTCAAAGTTCTCTAATTCATGAAAGGTCCAATGCCCCCCCCACCCCGATAGCATTATGCTTAGTTTTGCTGAATAAGTTATTCTAGGATAAGCCCATGTACTTTGCCTTTTGAAGTGTCAGATTACAAACTCTGTGCTCCTTCATCATGGTGGCTGCTAAATCCTGTGTGATCCTGACTGTGACTCCTTCTACTGTCGGCCTGGAAGCTCTGGATTTTGTCTATAATATTCCTGGGAGTTTTCATTTTGGGGTTCCTTTTAAAAAGGAGATGACTGGTAGATTCTTTCTATTTCTACTTTGCCCTCTGGTTCTCAAGGATCTGTGCAGTTTTGTTTTAATTTCTTGAAATATGGTGTCTAGGCTCTTTTTTTGATCATGGTGTTATAAGCAGTCCAGTGATTCTTAAATTTTTTCTCCTCTATCAGTTCTCTATGTGAATTTTTGTTCTGACATCACATTTTCTTCTATTTTTCCAGCCTTTTGATTTTGTTTTAATATTTCTCGTTGTCTCATGGAGTCTCTGGCTTCTCTTTGGTTCATTTGAATTTGTGGGAAGTTTGTTGCTTGGGCAGGTTTTATAGCTCTTGCTAAGATAGTTTGCTTACTAATCCTGTCTTCTATAGCTCTCATTACTTTTCCAGTTTTTTCCTCTAGTGTTCTCATTTCATTGATAAATTTTTTTTTCTAACTCTTTTTAACTCTCATTTTATCTCTTTGAGAAATTTGAGTTGAGCTTGTGCCCAAACTGAGTTTTTCTCTGAGGCATTGCTTGGAGATGGCTTGGAGTGATTCTCTTTCTGGGCACTTTCTGAGGGTCTCTGCCACCATACTGGTCTTTGGGGTGGATTTCTTTTTTTGTTTGCTCACTAAGTATCCAGCCTGCTTCCTGACTTGGGACTTGATATGGGGCTGGGCCCTGCCACGCTTTTAGAGGGAAAGTCTTGGCTGCCCCTGCTGCTGCTTTCTTGGGGCATTGAGGTTTGTGTTATTCCAGGTTCAGCGCTCCCAAAGTGGTCTGATCCAGGGCAGCAGCTTATCTCTTCCCTCGTCCCCCCCCAACTCCTTCCTTCTGCTCTCGGCAACTTCCTGACCTTGGTTTGGGTCTGAGCAAGTATAGACCGCTTCTGGACTCAGTCTCTTGTAGGCTTCCCTTTGGTCTGGAATTTCTGCCCCTCTTATTTGTCTACAGGCTTCATATCAGGCTGGAAGCTGGCACTGAGACCTGACTCCAGTTCTGGGTTCGAGGCACATCACTGCATCTTGCTTCTGAACATTCCTCCTGCTCAGTATACAGCCCAGTTAGGGCCTGTGGCTGTCCTTACCTGGAAATACCACCCCAGGCATATATGCCCTCCTACCCAGAAATGGATAGTGGGCCACAAAGCTGCCAGTTGGTACCTGTTTCCACAGTCTGCAGAGAGTCTTAGGGCCATCATGTGGATCACCTTTGGGCACTGCGTTTCTCTCAGGGTCCATGGACCTCTCTGCATATGACCCTGTGCTAACCTGGGCTGGACAAATGACGCACTGAGATTTTTTCCTTAAATTTCCCCATTAGAGTGCAATCTGGTGCGTTTCTAGATCTGTTTGGAAGAGACTGTAAGGGGGGAAGGGTAGGGAAGGGAACTCGCTGTACTTCTGCTCCTCCCTCTGGTGTTTTTTATAGTGTTTCCTTTTTTCCTTGGATCAATCTGAAACTATTCAGCAATTGTCACTGCCCTGGAGCAACCTTCGGTGTTTGTATTGTATACTGTGGGTAAGGGGAGGGAAGTCCTGAGAACACTTGAGAGCCAGTGCCTGAAATGTTGGGGACGCTATAGGCCCACCCTCTGCCCTGTAGCCTAATGGCAAGATGGGACCATACAGAGGCTGGACCCAGTGGAGGCAAAGCTGAGGGTTAAGGTCGGGCTACATGGAGAAGGAGGAGGAGGTAGAGATGGAAGAGGAGAAGAAGGAGGAGGGGGAGACAGGGGGATGAAGATGGGAGGAGAGTAGGTGGTACACGGTAGAGCCTGGAGGAAGACCAGCATTGGGGCAGGTAGTGATGAGAGGGCTGAGTGGCCGGCCTCCTCTCATCCACTTGGACTCGTGATGCCCGTGGTTATAATCCAGGTCTTTCGTCTTTTCTCACACTGACCAGGGCCTTCAGGAAACAGGCCTCTCAAATAGTCTTACTTACATATTTAAACTCTTGAGAACAGGGAGAGCAGAATTATGCAATTAAATTTGCACCGGAATCATGCCACCCCTGCCTGGACTCCTCACGCTCTTCATCTCTGCCTCCTGGCCTCCCTGGCTTCCTTCAAGTCCCAGCTGAAATCCCGCCTTCTCCAAGGAGCCTTTCCTGAGTCCTCTTCATGCTGATGAGGGCCTCCCCTCGGTTATCTCCAGTCTAACCAGTCTGTAGCTTGTTTATATGGTTTGTGGCACCTTGTCTCCCCCACTAGACTAAGCTGCACGTGAGTCCCTTTGTATCCCCAGGACTTAGCACATAGTAGGGACTTGGTAAATGTTTGTTGACCGACTGGTTGGCCAGTGCTGAGATGTTTTCTGCTCTTTTCCCCAAGGAGTCCCTGACTTCAGCCTCCGAGTGGCCCTGCAGACACTGTTGAAAGAGTACTGTGAGATGGGCAAGCCCCCCAAGGATAACAGGTTCTGCAGTTTTCTGCAGACCTCCAAGGTGCGGCCTCGCAAGAAGGCGAGGAAGTGCCTGTATGCCGTAGGTGAGCATCTCTTTGTGTCCTTCACACAAAGGCTGTGAGCCGTCACCCTTAGAGTGGGGAGGCTGGACCTTCTCCCACGTTCGACAGACGGGCTCACTGTCCTTTGGTTTCTAGTCTGAGTCATCGCCAGGAGAGAAGGGGAAACCCCTCATTTTGTAATTAGAATCTGGGGCGTATTGATCTCAGCTTAGCTAAGAACAAAGAGCCACCTGGGAAAATGCTTCCTTAAAGCCAGAAGACTTTTGTGGAAACATGGGAGAAAGGAGGCTGCACATTGCTGAACCATATCCAAGCAGGGCTCAGCCTGCAGTGGGTGGCCTGGCCTGGTGGCCTTAGCTGCTGCCATAATCAGCTGAAGAAAGGGTCAGAACGACCCCCAAAATAAGCTGCCACAGCAGTCTCTTGTCTCAGCAGCCCACTCTGCCTGATCTCCGCTCTAACCAGGCTCATGCCTTGTTGTGTTCTGTGGGCCAGGGACACTCCTCCAAGGGAGGCGGGGCTAACCTGGCACACGTGCTCTTTCTCCTTTCCCCAGGCGGATACACCCGGCTGCAGGGGGGCCGATGGAGTGACAGCAGAGCCCTCAGCTGCGTGGAGCGTTTCGACACCTTCAGCCAGTACTGGACCACAGTGTCTTCGCTGCACCAGGCCCGCAGTGGCCTAGGAGTGGCGGTAGTGGGAGGGATGATCTATGCCATTGGAGGTAATGATGGCGCAGGGCAAGCCGATCCCGAGGAGCTGGCGGACTGGTGCCAAAGGCCTGACACTTGGGCTCTGGGGGCTGGGCAGAATCCATCTGTGGGTGGGATGGGGGCAGAGGACAAGGGCCAGGTAGCACATGGGGATGTTTTTTACAGGTGATCCTAATGGCTTCTTATTTTTCAAATACATTTTAATTGATGTCTTGTGTTTTACAGCACACACATGTCCCAGTGTAGTAGGCTTGGTCTCCTTGGAATGGAACCTTGCCCAGAATTTAGGGCCTTTAAAATGACTGCAGAGGAAGCTCAGCCAGGGACAGGCACTGAATGTAGGACACAGTGACCGGTCGTGAGGGCGCAGGCCCTGGCAGTGTTGGTCTAAAGTACAGCTTCCAGCTGAGGCTAGCTGAGCGTCTGGGGGGCACACTGTTCCTCCAGCATCCCCTCCCCAGTTGGAGTTTCCTGGCTTTTTCTTTTTGACATTTGCAGTCTGTCCTAGCCAGACTCAAATAGCCGACGTGGGCCATGCTCGCCTTCCCGCCGTCCTCAGCAGGCAGCAGTGTCTGCATTGATGGTGATGCCCCTGCGTGCAGACCCTTTCAGCTCGGCAGGATGGGTGACAGTTTAGGCTCCGCTGGCTGGGCTTTCAGGACCCCGGGGTCCTGTGCCAGGACATGAGGTCAGGTGTTCAGACGTGGGCTCTGTCTCTGCGCTGCCCCAACTAGTCACTTAGGATCACGGCACAGAGGACATTGGGTCATGCCCCCTCATTTTACAGAGGAAGAAACTGAGGCCCAGGATGCTGAAGGGACCTGCCTGAGGCTATACAAGCAGACAGAATCCGACTCCTCAGACTCCTGAGCCAGCCTCCTTTCCTCAGGCCTTGGCTCCCTCCCCTACCTGGGCTGCCTGTCTGCCTCGGAATGTCCTCAGAGGGCTCTGTCGATGATTAGACGACAGGCTAGACCCCCAGAGGATGGGGAGAAGCCATTCAGACTTCATCTTCTTTTCCTGTGGCTTGTGGTCTTCTCCTCCTCCTCCTCCTCCTCTTTGGCCTTCTTGGAAACCACCCCAATCTCCAACAGTTCCTGGGCCTCCAAGGCCACTGGGCTTGGCCCAGTCCAGCCATCAGTCTTCCCCTCCTCCATAGCCTCTTTCACAGCTCTGGAACTCTCTGAGTTGAAGTCCCCAAAACTGAACCCTTTAGATGACCCCGTCTGCCTATCAGTGACTCTCCTGACACCCCCAGAGCCAGGCTTTTCTGTTGTGTCTTTAGACAGACCTTTGACAAACAAGGTTTTGTAGGACTGGCTCCTTTGGCTGCATCAGCCGGCTTTGGTCCTTCCACGGCAGCTGGACGGCTCAGCCTTCCATCTCTACGTTGCTACCAGAATTCGAGCTTCTTTCGCTTCTTCTGCAGCGGCAGATTCAAAGGATGAGGACCTTTAGGTCAGCCTCGGTTGTTCTGGTGCAGGCTGATGGACGTCGCCTCCTCTGACGCTCCTGAGGCTGTAGGCGAGGGTGTTCGGCACCAGGGTCTGGCTCTGCCAGCTCGCTGCTGCTCTCACGCCAGGAATGATTCTTCCCACACTCTTGCCCTTGACTTTTCTGCCCGTTGTTGTACAGAATGAGCTCCCACCGTCAGCCTCCGCTCCCTGTTCCTCTTCCAAGGCCTTGTCCGCATCTGCTTGTGTCTTAAATTCAATGTGGGCAGTTCCTTGGGGCATCCTGCCCTTGGCACAGGCCGGTCTGACCTTAGTAGCGTCTTCTAGCCCTTCCTCGACCTCCTCCTGAGTTACTTTACACAGAGCATCCTTGCATCTAGATCCTTCTTGCTCTCTTTTGCTTTTTCCAGCTTCATTTCAGAGCTCAGCATTTTGGAGCCACTGAGTTCCATGTCTTTAGCAGATTCGAATTCTCCGTAGCCTGTGTGCCGATCCAGACGTCCACAGTGGTAAGGTCCTTTTCTGCAGAGAGGTCCGTGAAGTCAATTTTCAGCTTAGAAGTGGTTTTACCAGCGAAGGGGCTGAAATTTGTAGATGCTCCCGCTTCTGTTTCTGTTCCTTGGCTTCGGGGGCTTTCTCTTTGCCCTTTTCCTCTTTCCTGGTGCTGCTTTGATGTCTCCTCCCACTCCTCCTCCTCCTCTTCCCCCTCCCCCTCCTTCTCTTCCTCCCCCCGCCCCGCTTGGGTTCCTTGGCTTTCCCAGAAGCAGCCTTCCCTTTGGCAGGTGTGGTCGCTCTAGCTGCTTCTTTAGCCGTCCTCAGGCTCTTCTTTGGCTGGAGCTGCTCCTATTTTTTCCTCCTCCTCATCTTTGCTGTCCTCCTTCTTACCTTTCCTGCCATCTGTCACCCCTTTGGTTGGGGGCGCTGCTGCCTTCGCTGGGCTGGCTCCCTTCTTGCCTGCTGGATGACTTCTCTGGCTGGGGAGTCGCTTTCTTGGCAGGCCCAGGGTGGCCTTCTCACCAGGACTCATGCTGTTTTGGCTGCTGGTACCTTCTTTGCTGATGTAGCCACAGCCTCCTTGCCCCTCATCTTCTGACATGTCCTCATCCTCACTGTCTTCTGGCCCCTTTGGGGAAGGAGCCATTTTCTTTGGCTCAACTTCATTTTTAGCAGTGTTTCGGAGCTTTACCATGGTGGTAGCATGTGACTAGGGGGCAAAGGGGACAGATCCATTAGCAAAGGCCCAGCAGTGTCAGTGGTGGTGGAAAGTACCAGGAGGAGTCTCTCCACAAGCAGCCCTTTATTGGCAGACACTGAGACCAAAGTGAGATCTCTTTTCCTTGGACACTGTCGCCAGGGCAGATAGGGCTCACCTAACTCCCCAAAGTACTCCCATCAGTGTGTATGGTCACCGGCCTCTGTGGGGCCCTCCCTGCCTGCCCTGCCTGTGGCCTCATTTATTTCCTAAGTTAACAGGCCTGGTAGAAAGGACCGCCATAGCACAGCCTGGGTCGTGGTCCTCCTGCAGCCCAGATAGCTCACCAGAGGGAGCTGCCATCTTGGAAAAAAGCATTTGCTATCTGTCTGCTTCCTACATTGGCCCTCTCCCCTAAAGGCCTGCCCTGCTCGTCCAAGTTATCAGCTCATGCCCTTGATCTCTCCTCACATAACCATGCCATGCTTGCATCTCCCCATGTGGACTGTAAGATCCTTGCAGGCAGGGAATCTTTTGTATTGTCATTGTGTTCTGGCTCTTAGGCCCCTAACATGGTGGTAGGTGGATTGGATTGAGCTGAATGCCAGGAAATCTTGTTTCCTCCCCCAGAGTCGGCTTCTTGAAGGCAGAGGTGTCTGTGTGTTATACTTCTGCTCTGTCCTCCTCTGTGCCTGGCATAAATACTGGATTGATTCATTTACGTGACTCACCAGGCTTTCATCTAAATACAGTAGATTTCATTTCCTAGCCTGGAGATATGTTTATCTGAGGAGTGTTCTCGACTTTGTGGTGTTTTTTTTTTTTCATCTCCATTAGATGATCTTCCGAAATTCTCTGGCTGGTTCATAGGGTGGGATGTGGGGTGTGTGCTTGGCCCTGGCCAGAACAGGCTGAGCTCAGGCAGGGAGAGGGAAGCCGCTAAGGTCTGTGGGAGTCGGAGCCCGGCCTGTCTTCTTATGGATTGTTCTCTGTTTCCTTAAGGGGAAAAGGATTCGATGATCTTTGACTGCACGGAGCGCTATGACCCAGTCACAAAGCAGTGGACGACTGTGGCTTCCATGAACCAGCCCCGCTGTGGCCTGGGGGTGTGCGTGTGTTACGGGGCTATCTACGCTCTCGGTAACTATGTGTGGCCATCTCAAATGGAGAGGCCCCTTCCCTGGTCCCTTGGGAGAGGCTCTTCACAGGGCGAATTCTCTGCTCTCCAGATTTCCTGAGGATGCAGCTCAGTCAGGGAGCAGGGAAAGGACAGGATGCCAGCGGGTGCATGTTGAAGTGCAGGCGACTGAATCAAGTCCATGTTTTTGCTTCTTCCAATTAACTCTCCAATTGCCAAACCATTCACTATGCAAACAAAGAAAACATGGTGCTTTACATCCAAAGAACTTGAGCCATTCCTCCACCTGGGGAAGGTGGGGTTAGAAGCCCTCTAACTGGCTGCCTGCTCTAATCGTGAATTACATTTGTAATTAGCAGCACCTACATGCAAATAACACACTGATGTCATGTGAACAGTCAATTCTCTTGCCTAATTTAAATATCCCCCCCATTTTTATTATTTTTTTTATTTATTTTTGCTTTTTGGTGAGGCATTGAGGGTTAAATGACTTGCTTAGGGGCATACATCAAGTAAGGGTCAAGTGTCTGAGGCCAGATTTGAACTCAGGTCCTCCTGACTCCAAAGCCGGTGCTCTATCCACTGCACCACCTAGCTGCCCCTCCTTTCCTCCCCCCCCATCCCATTCTTATAGCTAGGAACACTCTTTGAAAACAGTGGTGAATGACAGACTTCTCAAGCTCCAAACTGAGCCTGGATTAATGAACTTTGACTTGATTGGAACTCACTAAACAGCGCTCTTTGAAAGGAAAGGCTTTCTTTTAATGGCCTCCCTCTCCTCCCTTATCTGACATGTCGGGCATGGCTGCCAGCCCTGTTTGAGAAGAGCTCCCTGAAGATAACGTGTCTGTCTTCTACACTGGGGTCTGGACTGTGTTCTGCCAGGGGTCCAGGGGCACTGGCCTCCTGAGGCTTATCTCTGACTGGGGGATGAAAGGCTGGTTCTTGTTTGAGGAATTTCAAGTAGAGAGAAGGTTGGGGAGGCTTGGGGTTGGGGTCAAGGGCCCTTCCCTGTAGGGTTAAAGGTAAGGAGTGGCCACTGTCCAGACAGTGTCTGGGGAATAGTGGGACAATGTGTTTAATTGGTTTTGTTGAGATTTAAAATTGAGTTAATTGTGGTTTTTTAAAAATTATGTGCAGTCAAGGGCAGCCAGGTGGCACAGTGGATAGAGCACCGGCCCTGAAGTCAGGAGGACCTGAGTTCAAATCTGACCTCAGACCAAACACTTGACACTCACTAGCTCTGTGACCCTGGGCAAGTCACTTAACCCCAAGTGCCTAAAAAAAAAAAATTATGTGCAGTCCAAATAATCTTTCATAAAGACCACCTTTGGGGCAGCAAGGTGGTGCAGTGGATAGAGCACCGGCCCTGAAGTCAGGAGGACCTGAGTTCAAATCCGACCTCAGACCCTTGACCCTTACTAGCCGTGTGATCTTGGGCAATCTTGATCTTAACCTGATTGCTTAGCCAAAAAACAAAAAACAAATAAAAACCACCTTTGAGAGCAAAACTTGCAAGTAGCCAGAGTGGTCAGTGTCCCCAAGGCCAGCAGCTCCAGAGGCCTGTTATAAAAGGCAGTTATTTTGAAAGCCTATTTTGCCCACATAAATTTTAATTTCTTATTATTAACTCAATTCACAACCTTAATAAGACCCGTTCAGTCTCCGTTACCTCCATTCCTCATGTTCTGTGGGGGTAGGGTGGGGGTGCCAGTCTGACGTCCGGAGAGAACAGGGCTCGGAGTCAGCCAGCTAGCGTAGGTTTCTTGAGGAGTACCTTTCCCACTCGCCTGGACTGGGTGCCCCCTTCTCTGGGTGACAGGCGGAGCCGGGCCGGGGGCTTCTGTGGGTTCTCTTCTGAGGCAGCAGCCTTTGCTCTTGGTTGCAGGTGGATGGGTGGGAGCCGAGATAGGAAACTCAATTGAACGATTTGATCCTGAGGAAAATAGCTGGGAAGCTGTTGGCAGCATGGCTGTGCCGCGTTACTACTTTGGCTGCTGTGAGGTCCAAGGTAAGGACTTGTTGGAGTTTCAGGATGGGAAGGAGGCGTCCTCCTAGCTCCAGCAGAGGCCATGAGGGGCCGCCACAGTGCCCAGAGCCCTGGGCCCAGGTCAAGAAGACCCAGCTCTGTGTCTCTGGCAAGTTCACTTCACCTCTGTCTGCCTCAGTTTCCTCATCTGTAAAACAGGTGATCCTGGGTCACTGTGAGAATCAAATGCGATAATGTTTTTAAAGCCTCTAGCACAGTGCTGGCACATAGTAGGCACTTAATAAATCTTCCTCCCTAAGCTGGCAGAGGAACTGTTTAGTGGAGCACATCTGTAGCCTGACAGCAAGCCTGCCTCTTCTCGTGACTGCTGACCTGTGTGCCCCGGCACTCACATTGTCCATGGAGTGGCAGCAAGTGAGCCTGGAGAGGAACCTTCCCCACTCACTACTAGGCAGCCTGCCCCCCACTCCCAGGAGGTCAAAGGCTCCTTCTGTCTCCATGTACTCAGAGCAGCCCTTTCTGTGGTGGCCGAGAACTGGCTGCACAGTGGTCCCCATCTACTTGGGAGTGTGGCTGAAGCCAGCACAGTATATGAATGTGATGGAGTGTAACTGTGCAGTGTGAAATGGGAAACGTGAGGAATTCAGAGGAAGGACGGGTGGGTCCCCAGAGAGGGGACTGTGCGTCCTTACAAAACCAATGGCAGTCTCCGAGAAGAGATGCTGAAATGTACCCCAAGACCCGAGCCACAAAGGCAAAAAAGCAGGGGCGTCTGTGGCAGACAGAGTGTGGGGCACACCTACAACCATATCCCAGAGTTGTGCTTCATTGTTTTACTGTGTCCTGGGGGGTGATTCAGTCTGGAGGGGCAGAAGAGGACCTCTCTGAATGTAAGAACAAAAGAAAAGAAAGAAGCCTTCATGGTTTGTTTCTTCTTTAGGCCTTGAGACCAGGACTCTGTGGCATGGGTGTGCCAGCAGGAGCCTGTGTGAACAAGCCACGCGCTTCTGCCCTTGGGGTCCCCCCAGAGAGGGGCCCAGTAAGGCCGCCCTTCGTGGTCAATGCCTCTGATAACGTTAAGCCCTTATTTGTGTCTCTGTCAGAGCTGTCATCTTCTACGTCCCCAGGTTTAATCTATGTGGTTGGCGGCATCAGCAATGAGGGCGTGGAGCTCAGTTCCGTCGAAGCATACAACCCAGTTTCCAAGTGCTGGTCCATGCTTCCTCCCATGGGGACCAGGAGGGCCTATCTGGGGGTGGCTGCCCTCAATGACTGCATCTATTCGATCGGAGGGTGGAATGAGACCCAGGATACACTGTCCTCTGTAGAAAAATACTCCTTTGAAGAGGTACAGTTGGGCAATTTGGGGTGCTGCTCTCCTGCATGGGTTTGTGAGGGGCCTGAGTGACACAACCCCCATTTGGATTCTGCCCTCCCTAAGGTCATTCATTTCACAAGAAGCAGGAAGGAAAGAACATAGATCTGGGGTGTTTAGAAGATGGCTGTGCAAGGATGGTGAATACCTCTCCTGTCTTCTCCTAGTGGGGCCTGGTCCCAGAATACATCATCTGGGCCCAGGAAGGAGAGGCCTCTCTCAATGGCCACAGAGGGTGCACCTAGTGATTGATTTACTCCATGGGGTTCTCATTTATGGTAATCAGAGCTCTCCCTCCTACTGTAGGTCCCAGGACCACTCCAAGAATGCTTCGGGCTGCCCCGAGCCAGACATCAGGCACAGTGTTGGCCTAGGTCTCAGCCTCTGTCCAGGCCACAAGTCTTGGGTTTGGGTCTGTGGGATCCAAAGTCGCTGGGAGTCATCCTGGGCCCTGTGGGAATGCTTATCCAGGACTCAGTACTTGTTCTCCATTGCTAGGCCAGGAGTGACTGGCAACATTCCAGATTCCCCACCCATTTCTCAGCATCTTTCTATTTGGCCACAAAATGGTTAGGTTGTCTCCTAAAGGGTGTGAACTCTAGTGATGTTTCTCGTCCTTTTTTTTCACGTGGAAAGGTGACCTTTGAGGAAGATCTACAATTCCTTGGGCCAGTTAGGGTGTGTTGTCCCTGACATTGGTAACAGCATGGCTTTCCCTAAAAGGGAGGTCAGGTCATCTTCAAAGGCCTGTGACCTTTCCCACCTCCAGCCTAAAAATTGCTGCTCAGTCATGAAGTTACCCTCCCCTTGTCTGAATTTCTCTCTCTTCTCTGCCTGTGCATCCAGTAAGTTTCTGATGTAAAGAAGTACGTGTTCAGGGTGTGCCAGGCCTGGTGGCGGAGGTAGATGAGCAAGCCCACATTGCCTTCCTTCTCAGGGGTCTCTGGGTCTGGGTCCTGTGGAGTCTCAGCTCTCCAGAACCTTACTATCCTCTGACTGGCCCTGAGCAGCAGCTGGCCACACCCATTGCAGTCCCGGGTCAGGTGCCTGTTTTCCTAACTTGGTTCCCGGGAAGGCAGCGTTGGCCTATGTCCCAGCACAGCAGCACACTGGGTCAATGTCCCTGGGGAGTGCTCTCCATCACCTCTTTAGGCCTTTTTTGTGGAACACGCCTGCTTATCTCAGAGGCCAGGCCTCTGAATGTTTTCAGGTGCCTTCTCTGGGTTCCTCGCCATGTTCCACAGCCTCATTCTACCTCAGCCACGCCCCCATCCCCCAAGTGTTGTTTTGTCTGACTGCTAATCATGCGGCTGTTTCTCTTGCTTTTCTGTCCTGACCAGGAGAGATGGGTTGAAGTTGCACCTATGAAAGTGCCCCGAGCCGGTGTGTGCGTGGTGGCCATAAATGGGCTTCTGTACGTTTCTGGAGGCCGGTCTTCCAGCCACGATTTCTTGGCCCCTGTCACCTTGGACTCGGTCGAAGTGTACAACCCTCACTCTGACACATGGACTGAAATTGGTAACATGATCACCAGCCGTTGCGAAGGGGGCGTGGCTGTGCTGTGACCAGTGTCAGGAAACCTGGGCTCATGCGGAAGAGGACGCTGGGGCTTGGGGCAGGACTAGAGGAGAGAGAGGGAGGCCCCAAGGTCAGAAGGAGGATGCTCCCGAGGGCAGACAGGGCTGAAAAGCCGGCTGGTGCCACGTTCCTAAGACTGGTGTGGGGCAGGCTTGGCATCTGTTACAGGCAAAGCCCACCTTGACAGGGGACCATCGGGCTCCCATTCCCAGACCCGTCCTGATCAAGGACCCACACTGCCCTTTCTGTGCTCGTGGTCCTGTCGAGGGCTTTTCCTGTGCAGTCTAAGTACTCCACACTGAGTTCTGTTCACCCACAATGAAAAGGATACCACTGCCCATGCCACCTGCCCCACAGGGGAAAATCCGGTGAATAACTGCCCAGCCCTTAGTGCCAGATGGTGTCTTTCATTGGCACCAAACCCTCAGTCAGCAACTTATTTACTGGGAGAGGCTGGTGGGAAATGGACACAACTCCATCAGGAGCTCATGGCAAACCTTGGCTTGCTGGCTCCCGAATGGGCAAGTTGAGAAATCCCAGCCAGCCTTCTGAAACAGAGGCCACAGGCAGTAGCCCCCCCCTTGCCTGCCCGAGGGGGGGTCACCCACAGATCATGCCTGCTTAGCTGTTAGAAAAGGGCGAAGCTTCAGGCCTCCTTCCCCACTCCTCTTCCAGCTGTTCTGTGCCTGCCCGCCTGCCCCAGAGGCTTCCTTAATAGTACTGCCTCAGTGGGACTGCCCAGTCCCCTTGCTCACTCACCTTTTCACCTCCAGGCCTTTGGCAAAGGGTGGGGTTGTGGGGTGGAAGGCTTAGCCGGGGACTGCTCTGCACCTTGCTTGCCTGGGCCAGCTTCAGCTCCCCAATTCTCAAGGGCCTGGTACACCCTGGACCCCCAAGTTGCTTATCGATAGAGCAGTTGTGCAGATTTTTCATTCCCTTACTGTGGCATTCTAAACACTGGCTGCATCTTAGACCCAAAAAGCTTGCTTAGTAAACCTTGGCAAAGGCACTTTTGGTGTAGAAACCCCCTGCAAGTCACTTTCCTCCTCCCCTGGAGAATGTGACCATCACGGCACCTGCCTTAATTCATTGGTTGTGAAGATCCAATGAATTAATCTCTGTAAAGCTCATTGCAAATGCCAGCTCTTCTCTGCTTTTAATAAACGCTGGAAAGGTTTTGCTTGCATGTGGTGGTTGTCTCTTTTTGGGCGGCCAGGTGTTAGACATCAGGACTCCAGCTTGAGTCAAGCCCTACCTCCCTTCGTGCACCATTCAGCATGGGAAGATACTTGTAGAAGGCCTAAATGAACGTGTGAGAAAGCCACCTTTTTGGAGCTAAAAAGCTCTGCCTTCCTTTGTTGGACACCACATACATCAATGGAACAAAAGCCCAAGTCATCCAGAGGCCAGCGCATAAGTCACCTGAAGGGGTCATTACCTTGAAAAGGCTTGGGTAATCAAGAGAGAACCCCAGTGCTGGTTTTGGTCTTATCCTGGCCTAAGTTTACAAAACACGTGATCCCACTGGGGTCGTCTTGCCTTAGTTCTTCCTTCTCATACACTTCACCCACACAGGAACATGCAGGAAAGCCCCTGGATGGCTTCTCCTAAAGGGAGAAGCCAGAAGGGCTGAGGAATCCTCAGACAGACAAGCATGTGATGGGAGCCAGGGGGGCCACTAGGGTTTGGCTTGACAGCCATGTCTCAAGGCAAAGGCCTAAGGAATAATGGATCCTTCTAATTAAAACAAGATACTAATGGAATGAGTGTAAGCTATTATGTTTCCTCCTTTATGTAAATTCTGTAGCTGATCCTGGGACACAGTACGACTTTGCTTGGAGCAGCTTGCCATTAGATTTCTTTCGCTATGGCTAAAGGGAAATCTATTTTTTAAAAATGTATAGCATCATTACAAGTCAAAAATTTTTTGTCCCCAAATTTTTCAGTGCCATTTGCTTAAAGAACTACCCAACTCAAGACAGCTGTCTTATGCCAGGCTTTGCCCAGCTACTTGCTTCATCATCCCTTCTGGAAGGCTTAGGAGCTCTGAAGATTCTCTTGTTCACTGTGGGAAGGGGGTCAGAGGGAAGCCATTAGATGAAAAGGGTACCTCAGGAAGGACCCTCGTTTGTCCTTTATGTGTCTCAATAAGACTGCTGGTCTGGGGTTTCTGTTAGAAAGCAGACAGACCTCAGATCTTACAATCAGCACCTCCACAAGAATTTCTGGAATTTGATGGGAACCAAATTTTATATGTATTTTTACCAAAACAATAAAACTAGACGCATCATTCCATAGTGAAGTATTCCATACACACTCAATTCTCCCCTCCCCCCCCAGGAAGTGCCATTCCTTGAAAACCAAATCAAGACCCTTTGCCTTCACTAAGAGAGCCCCGGGTCACTGGTCTTCAGGTTTCGTGGCTTTCCCCACTGATAATCATGGTCTCTTTGATGATGTGTGACCTTCCACACACCAATGCTCCTGCCTTGTGGCAGAAAGGAATTCCATATGGAAGAAGTTCAGGTCAAGCACCCAGCTTAAATGACCAAGCAAAACAAATAGCAAAGGCCAATTCCCAAGAGCATCCTACAGAAACACAGGTCTCAGATGCTAACAAGTAACCAGGGTGTTCCCTCCAAGGAGCCAAAACGCCCTAGCCAAAGGATGCTTTGTGGTCTTTATTTGATCTTTTAAAAACTCTTTACAATTTACTTATAAACAGCAGAAATAAACTTGTGAGCACCAGTCTACGCACACACGTGCCAGTACTGTGGGCTACAGCCTCAGGCAACTAATGAAAGGACAAGATTTCCAGAGAGGGACAGTCACCAGATGCAGGAATTACAAAGAAAAAACAAGAAGGAGGATCTTAATAGCCTGCCTGCTCACAATGGGCCAGGAGTGTGAGCTTCACTCAGCCTGACCAGGCCGTTTAGGGCCAGTTTCTGGATAAAAATCTTTGATTATCAAAGTGGCTACAAATGAAAAAAATGCCACGAGAGTCACTACTATTCTCAAGGCTTTGAACCAGTTAGGATAATGGGGCAGGAGGAAAACTTCATTGTGTAATGCCACCGCAAAGCCCATGACCACCATGATGATGGCTTCAGTGAGTCCCTCAGAAATAAGGAAGGCATACCAGGAAAACACCAGTGGGGCCCCGCTGCAGGCTAAATTCATGATATCCGGCTTGGCTGGACTGTCTTCTGGCAGAGTGAACCCCCACCTGACCCCTCCCAGGAAAGACAGGAAGCTGGCTCCATAAGCCATCTGAGTAAATGCCAGTACTGGTACATAGGTCTTGGTCATCATCATGATCAGGGGTGGGGCCACAAAGGGGACCAATCCAGTCAAAGCAACATAGAGGGCTGGCTTTGGGGTGTCAGGCAGGTAGGTGAGAGTGGGTGGTGGCCTCGTGGGAACCACCGGGACCTTCTTCTTGAAGCAGCAGGAAGATGTGTGATATTCTTTACCCCCATCCTCAGACCCTGGACTGGACGGGAGGAGCCAAGGTCTCAAGAAAAAAGGGGGGATACAAGGAGTGCCTGCCTTCTGCCTCCCAGAAACCCGTGCCACAGATGGAGAAGTCTTCAGGATCTGCAAGAGAATTAAGGAAGATTAACCAAACAAAACACTTGGCCTACAAGCCCCTTCTTCGGATCTCCACGAGTACAGGCAGGAGGCCTAGGTGATGGCTCTCAGGGGGGATCTGCCCTGACACTGAGCAGCCTGCCCACAAGGGGACAATTACTTCAGCCACAGGTACCTGAAACCCCAAAGCTCCTTACCAGATTCAGGGTCCTGGGCTTGGGGTTATGAAGACCTGAGTTCAAATCCTGTCTTCGACACTTCCTAGCTGTGTGACCCTGGTCAGGCGACTTAATAGGTTTGCCTCAGTTTCTTTATCTGTAAAATGGGCACAATAATAGCGCCTACCTGCTAGGGTGGTTGTATCTGTAAAGGGCTTAGCAAATCTTAAGGCGTATGTAAATGCTAGTTATTAACTATTATTATTACTAAGGAAGAGGGGTGCTCCCCTCCCCCATCTCGGCGGCTGGTGACCAGCGTCATTCGTACTCCGGGCTGACCCTCAGAGGGACAGGCTGCGGGGCCGGCCTTCCTTCCCCCCCCCCCGCCCCGCCAGCTCCGTAACCTGGACCTGGCCTCGTATGCATGATTCCGCACCCAGGGACCCTCACCTCGGCATGGGAAGGAGGCTTTTCCCCAAGTCCCTAGGGCCAGGATGGGGGGGGGGTCGTTTCAGGCACCCGCGAGACATGGGTGGGCAGGGGACCAGAGGGACACGGGTGCTTACCTGTGAAGGCGCCCGACAGCAGGCACGGAGGAGGCGGAGCATGGTGGCGGCTGCTGCCAGTATGAGGGGAGAGTCGCTTCCGGTTCCGGCGCTCAGGAGAAAACAGTGCGGGTGAGAACTCGGCCCGTGCCTCGTGGTTCCCAGGGCCGCTTCCGGGAACGTTGGGCCCCGGGGCTCTTCTGGTTGTTGTTCCCCTAGGGCGGAACTTGAATAAGAGGGGCGGAGTCAGAGTAATCCGGAAAAGATTCAGCGGACTTGTGACCCGGCTCAGCACTCTGAGACTCAGGATCACAACTCTGCCCTCAAGGAGCTTACATTCTAACAGTCTGGGAGAAATGGAACCACCCCAATCCCCAGGCCAGTGTGAACTAAGAACCTCCCCCATTTTCTCGACTAGCCTAGGCGCATGCGCGACTCCGAACCACAAGTCCCGAAAGGCAGAGCGGCGCGCTCAGCGGAGTAGCGTTTAGCGAACGCCGCGGAAGCAAGGACTGGAGGCGGAAGAAAGGACTGGAGGCGGAAGACAGTCTGCGGAGAGCGCATGTGCAGTGGTGCGAACGCATGCGCACAGCCGGCATCGATAGGCTCTCTCTCGTTCTCTCTTCTCCTCCCCCAGCCCTCACCCCGCGCACAAACGTGCGAGCCCCGGCCCCCACGCAGCGCGAGGAGGCGGTGGTGGTGGCGGCGGCAGGGGGCGGAGTCATCCGGAGCGAAGTGGGCGCAGGAAGAGCTGCCGCGGCGCTGTCTGTCCCTGCGCGGACACGGACACAGAAACTGACACGGACTCGGAGCCTGGCTCGGAGGGACAGAGAGGACTCAGGACGCCCCAGCCGTCGCGCGCCGCCAGGTGGGGCTCGGAGCGCGGGGGCCTGAGGCGGGACCAACGGGCGGCGGGGGTGGGGGGGGGCGGGAAGAGACGTTTGGCCGAGCGCAGCGGTTGGGGAGGAGCCTCCTGGCCCCGCCCCCAGCGCGCGCCCCCGCCGCGGGGCCGCGCGCCTCGGCCGCCATTTTGGGCAGAGCTTTGTTGTGGTTGTGAGGCGGCAGGCGGTGGGGGAGACGCGGGGCCCGGTGAGTCAGAGAGCGAGCGAAGGGGGGCGGGGCGGGACCCTAGACATCTAGGAGGTTCCGCCTGCGGGCCAGAGACGGGCGGGAGCGACCCCCCCCGTGACCCGAGCCCCGAGGCGGCCGGCGGGAGGGGGGCGCGTGTGGGAGCTTCCCCTCCCCCCTCGGACCCGAGCCTGAGGCGGGGAGCGGTGCTGCCGGCGGCGACCTTGGCAAGGTCCCGAGGCTGGAGGGCAAAGTCCAGCGGGAGGCTGGGCCGGGCGGCAGGGGCTGGGGCGGGGTCCCCCGGCCGGCGCGGTAGAGGGGAAACCCCCGAGGCGCGGGGGCCTGGCAAGGGGGCGGCTCCGCTGTCATCCGGCTCCTTTTTCGCGTCTGGGGCCCAGGCCAGCTGTCAGCCGGCACGCATCAAGGGCCTACTGTGTGCTGGGCTAAGGACGCAGGCACCCACGCCGACCTGTGAGCCATGCATTCCTTTGGGGGGCGGTCCGGGGCGCGGGGTTCGGGGCTCGGGGCCCGGACACGCGAAGCATCGTGGGCAGGGTCGTCGAGCTGCGGGCTGGCGGAATGTGTGCCCAACCTCGGCTCCCCTGGCAACACGGAGCTCGGTCCGGGATTGGTGGGGAGGGGGCCGCGGACCTTGGGCGGCAGGGCTTGCCTTAGGGGCAAGGGCAAGAGTCTGCCTGCAGAGAGACCGATTAAGACGCTACTGCAGGACTCCGGTACCTGTTGGACTAGGGTGCTTATGGTTGGGGGAGACCTCCAGGCGGTAGAATTGACCAGCCTTGACCACCCATTGGATAGAAGGGGGGGGGACCAGAAGACGGTGAACTGATAGGGGTGACACCTAGCATGCAAAAGAAAGGTGGTGCTCTTGACAGAAATGAGTAAGTTAGTTGTAGGTTTTTTATGTAAAAATTGTAGGTGTGTATGTATTATTCGAGGCTAATCTGAAGATTAGGGGAATTTTAAGCAATTCGAAAACGAATTTGACATTAAGATCCTAGCAAAGTTGACTGAATATGGTGACATGTTGAATTTTCAGAAATTTACAAAATTGAGATAGCATGTTTTTATCATAGTTACGGAAATCTGAACTTTCTCAGCCTATTAATTTCTAGTAATATTTTCCTCAAAATTTTTTTTTGCACTTTTTATGTTCTTATACAAAAATACAAAATATGCCCAGATGCCTGTTGTAATCTAAGGCTGTGGATAAGTGTTTTTGCCGTAAGAGTCAAAACCTTCAAGAAATGGAAGTGAAAATGAATGTACAGTAGAAAAGTCTATAGGACTTTCATTTAGTAGCTTCTGCTTAGCACAATCCCTGGCATATAGTGGGTACTTAATAAATGTTTATTGACTGACTCACTGAAAACGATCATTTCAAAACCTCTAATGTTGCTTCATGGGGGGTGGAGAGGGAGAGCAGATAGTGGTAAATCTGTTCCTTTTTTGTACTTGTTGGCCTTCAGGGTCAGTAGGCTAAAAATAGCTGATAAGAGTACTTACCTTTACTTAAATGTTTTCTTACAGTTAGAGCTGGGTTTGCTGTTCCTTTGTGGAACAAGAGCTGTAAAACCATCATTTGCTATTTAATTCCCTGGTAACTGTCTGTGGTTTTGAAACACTTAAAAGTAAAATCCATGTAGAATCTATATCCACATGCAGTGAGTGTTCTTTCCATAATTGGCAGATAGTAATATCTGCCTTTATAGAGATCTTTATGCACGGTGTAATTTGAACTCTACAGCTCTGGAAAGGAGTTGCTCTAGGTATTATTCCCATAGTGTAGATGAAGAAACTGAGGCTCACCTAGGTTAAATGATTTGCCCAGGGTCAAACAGCTGGTAAGTGTCAGAGACAGTACTTTATCCCTGTTCTGAGTCTATTGTAAGTTCTGAGCTTCCCTTTTCTCACGAAAATAAGGCTTGTTTGAAGAGAGCGCTTTCTGCTCAGGCTTTCTGTACAGGAGTGATTTTTGTAATTGGAATATAACTGTTGCTTAGGAAATATATGCAAACTCACATTAAAGTGGGACTCTTTCCTCATACCCTAGTGAATTGTAGGTAGTCAAAGAAGTCTTGTTATCCCATTTGACCTATGAGGATACTGGAGTCCAGAGAGATTTAAGTGACTAGTGCCTGAGAGTTCTGTAGAAGCCTGGCATGATGTTTGTCAGATGAGGTAAATACTTTGGGAAGAAGAATCAGTGAACTTTACAAGAGCAAGAGTCTTGTCAGAAGGCCTGGGTTGGAACCTCTGTCCTAGATAAGTCATAGGATTTAGAGCTAAGAAGGGATCTTGACATCTTTGTTTTATTTATCTGTTTTTGAAAGTTTCTTCCCCCCCCCCAAAGCAAATATTTACAACAGGGGGAAAAATCCTTCATTTTATAGGTGGGGAAATTAAGGCAGGGTGGAGTCACAAGGGTAAATACATAGTAGTGCCATGGTCCTGGAGCCCAAGCTTAGTGCTCTTAACTCCTTCTTCTCCTGGCCAGTTAAAATGGGAGTGGTCATGCTCTGGATATCCTGAGAATCTCAGAATTGGAATGGGCCCCAGCAGCATCTTAGTCCTTCCTTGACCAAAACAGAATTGATTAACCTTTAGAGATAGATAATGCACCAATTTCTGAGGAAATTAGTCCATTGCACATGTGGATTGCTGTAATTGTTAGTAAACTTTTCTTTAGATCTTGTTTATATATAACCCAGCTCTTCTGGGACTTTGGGTCAAGTCACTTCACCACTTGGACCCCCAGTTTCATCAGCTGTAAAATGAGAAGGTTAAACTATGAATTGCGGAATTTCACAGTTGGAAGGGAGCAGGCTCTATCCAGGGCAGAGTGCAACAGGATTATTGCCTCCCTAGTCCTCGACACTGTCTCAGATCACATTAGATTTTTTTTTAAAAACTGCTGTTTCACAATGTTGACTTGTATGGAACTGACAGTTCACTGAGATCCTTAGATCTTTTTCTGATGAACTGCTATATGTCTACTCTTTTCCTGCCCATAGTTGTGAAGGTGATTTTTTTGGACCTGTGTAAGTTTGTTTCTTTTCAGTTACATCTTCCTAAGTTTAGCCCAGGGTTCCAGCCAACTAGGTAGTACAGTGGATAGAGCACTGGTCCTAGAACCAGGAAGTCCTGAATTCAGATTTGGCCTCAGATACTTACTTGCTAGATGTAAGACCTTGGGCAAGTCACTTGACCCTGTTTGCCTCAGTTTCCTCATCTGCAAAATGAGCTTGAGAAGAAAATGGCAAACCACTCCAGTATCTTTGCCAAGAAAATCCCAAGTGGGGTCACAGAGAGTTGGACAAGACTGAAATGACTGAACAACAATAAGGAGCCTGATGTTCTTTTTTAAGATCCTGATTTTGTCATCCCACGGGTTAGCTATACCACCTAGGCCTTTGTTCAAATATAAATAAAGATATTTAGAAGCTTGGGTCCCAACACAGATCCCTAGGATATAGTACTACTACTACTAGTACTATTTTTATATTTATGTAACACTTTAAAGTTTGCAAAATGCTTTACAAATACTAACTTATTTTATCCTCACAACTACCTGGGTGGGGTTGGTGCACTTATCATCTATTATCTTCATCTTTCCTGTATAGATATATACCTGTATAGATGAGGATACTTAGTCAGACACGGTTGAAGTGACTTTGCCTATGGTCACCCAGCTAAGAAGTGTCTTAGGTAGGATTTGAATTCAGGTCTTCCTGACTCCCAAGTCAGTCACTCTGTTCACTGCACCACCTAGTTGCCTCAGAGACCTCCTTTTATTTGACAATTTATACATGATATACTATATTTATGCACAGATTATATGTATTTTTAATTTAACATTAAATAAAATTAGTTTCTCCATACATAGTAGAGAAGATTATTGTACAATGTTGTTTTCATTTTAAGTACATGATAAATTTAACATGTTACTTTCAAAGCTATTCTGCTCATTTCCTTCTAAACTTCCTTTTATTCTGTGCATTTAAAAAAATTCTTCAGTGACCCTTTTTAAGAATAATGCCCACCCCACTCACCTCCCACCCCCCATTGAAAAGAAAAGGAAAATCAAAACATTTGCACCATGCATCAATCACCATATATCATGGTTGGAGGAGAGAAGGGAGCTTATGGGAGAGATGTTAAGAAGGTAAAATCAACAGGCCTTGGCAACAGATTGGATATGGTGGGTGAGACAAAGTAAGACATTAAAGGTGACACCTAGGTTTCAGGCCTGGATGACTTGGAGGATGGTGGTACCCTAGACAGTAATAGGGAATTTTGAAAAGGGAAAAGGTTTGAGAGGAAAATTGTGTTCAGGTTTGGACATGTTGAATTTAGATTGTCTACAGGACACATCCACTTTGAGATGTCTAATAGATAGTTGGAGATGCAGGTTCGGTAGTTAGGAAGAGAAATTGGGGCTGGATAAAGTAGATGTGAGAATCATCAACATAGAAAGGATAATTAAATCCATAAGAGTTGATGAGCTCACCAAGTAAAATAGTATAGAAGGAGGAGAGGGCCCAGGAAACCCACATGAGATTGGGGTCAAGGAGGGGATGGAGAAGATGTTTGAGTGAGGTGGAAGGAGCTCTTGGCATGTGGCCTCAGTTTTTTCAGTGAAGTATGAAGTCCTCAGCTGAGAGGGGAAGGGGGTGTTTTGGGAGATTTGACAAGATTTGTAATAGTAAATCAGGGAAGAGTAGAAGGATTTCCTTGCTACACTGTTTATGAGCCATAAATTTGTTATGGATCCAGTAAGCA